GCGACCGCCATTACAGGTATCCTAACCCAATCGTTAGTAACAGTTGCTGTAATACGAATATTACATAGGTGATTATCTAAATTTTCGCCATCGATGGGATTTGAACACCCAACCTACTACTTAGGGGGTTGACAACCTGACCACTTCACTAGGTCGCCACACCCCTAAGATTTGCATGTTTTAGCTTTGTAACACTCATAAACAATTATAAAAAAAGCTAAATACAAACTATAGCAATAGGCTTAAAATAATATACATTAATAACAGACATAGCTATTATAAAATAGCTAAGTATAACTATCAGCTTAAAGTTTAAATATAATAATGCATATTAATAACAAACAGTTATTAAAAATGACTAAGTACAAACTATCAGTTTTAAAGATTTATTAAAATAATTTGTATTAATAACAAAACACAACAAAACACAACTACTATAAAATGGTTAAGTACAAACTATAAGCTTAATGTTTTTTAATAACATAATGTGATTTAATAATAAACATAGCTATTACATTTTCTTAAGTACATATCTGAAAACAGAGAATATATTTATAAAATTTTAGACTTCTAAATAGATAATATAAAATGATTATATTTAAAATTAATTCTAAATCCAGAATTGATTTTTGAAAATTTAATCATTTATAGAAATGAGTAAATTGTTTATCCAGAAATAAGAATCGATTCTAATTCGATTAATGATTAAAATGATTATTATAGAATTGATTCTTATTCTTAGTTTTGTACTTACTGACTAGATAATGTAAATCAAATAAAATCCAAATGAGGTATAGTATAATGATAAATACAGTATTTAATGAAGTTTACTAAATGCAATTGTGATGATAGAAAGTCTGGTTATTATTTTTTTTTAAAAAAAAAATTAAATTTTTTAAAAGGTCCAAACCTGAAAATGCAAATTAATAGATCCTATGATATAGTCATGATCTTGTGACATGTGACCAGAATTCACATAAAGAACAAAAACCTTATAGCAAATAGGGATTGTTAATAAATAGAAAACATTATTAAAAAATAAAAAAATTATTGAATTAGAGAAAGTAAATTTAATGTGAATTGGTTTAAAATATCAATATTACAGGACTTTAAAAAAGTGAGTTAGCTATAGCAATATATTTGCATTATACAATAATACTTGGCTAGATAAAAACAAAATTATTTCCAATAGCTTATTCATAATTGTCTAGAGCAAAGTAACAGACTTATACTTCTATGCTCTAAATAACATTTTTGATCTATTTATAATAGAAATATTAAAAATGCAGTTTCAGTATTTTTTGAATATAACACCTCTGACATACATAACAAGACTTTTCAGAGCTAAAAACATTAACATTAAATTGAGCTTCAGAATTATACCAGTTTCTGGTTCTTAGTATAATTATATATAAAAAAATAAAGCAATATAGAAAATAGTTTTCTAAAAAAAGTCATGTATATAAATCAAAGCAAACATGAAGTTAGTGCAGAATAGTAAAACTTATTTCTTTTAGGATAAAAGCCCAGCAGTATTCTATTGTTCTTCAAATGCATTGAATATAAATATATGATGTCTACTATCTGTTTAACTATTTTAAAAAGTAAATAAATATACTTGTGCAGGATAGAGGAACTTAGTAGTTACTTCTTTTTTGGGTTAAAGCCTTATAGTTTCTTCAAATGTATCAAATTTAAAACATGCAGTGTCTTCTGCTGTTTAATTGTTTTAAGAAATTAAATCTTTTTTTGCAATATTCACCTGTTCATTAAATAATTTTAATTAAGAACTTAAGTGTTAAACTGTATAATACTTCAAATAAATTTTCTTCAGACAGATCAAATATAAAATTGTCAGTAACCTGTTTATTAAATTATTAAAGAATCTAAAAAACATTAATAATGAAATTATATATATACTCACAGGTGTATCAAATTAAAATTGGCATTTATTAAACTATTTTAATTTAAAAAAAATTAATTGAATTGTATAAAAATATAATAAAAGATTAATATATTTAAATTTTCTCCAGACATGTTTAATGTAAAATTAGCTGCTCATTCTATCTGTTAAACTATTAAGAAAATTAATAAAGAGGTAACTTGAAACAAATTTTCTTCGAATATATTAAATATAAAATTAATAGCATCTTCTATCCATTATATTAAATAAAAGACAGTAATATTTAATATAAATTCTTTTGTAATATTCTCATTTGTTAAATTGTTAAGAGAAAAATAATTTATTATTAAAAAAAAACTTTTAAAGTAGGTTTCTTTATGTGCATTTAAGTAACTTTCGTCTGTAATAATGTAAAATTAAAATTGTATTAAAAAATAGTAAAATACATTGCATAAAAAATATAAAATCTACAGCCATGAGCAAATATTGTTATAACTATCTTCTAAAATTGAATAAATAAAATTGCTTTACAATTGCACAAACTTCTATTGCAAATAATTAGCAAGTATAGACAATTGTTAGTATATTGCTTCATATGCTATAAATATGACCAAATTTTACTATAACAAACTGTTATTAAAATATTTACAAAAATTTACTCAAGACATTAATTAATCCAATTATTTTTTTCACTGATTTCTGACTTCTGTTTTTTTTTTTTTTTGAGAATTAATAGTGTCTAACTTCTTTTTTTTTCTTTTTTTTTTGGTTGCTTTTTTTTAATTTTTTTTCTCTTTTTTCTCTTTATTTATTACTCGATTTTTTATTCTTTTGCTTTTCTTTTTTTTTTCTTTTTCTTTGCTCTTCTCTTTATTTTCTTGCTATGCAAGCTCTAACTACATTGAAATATAATAAATTTTACATTTACAAAGTTCAAAATACCCAATATAAGAAGTTTTGCAATGTACTTGCATATGGCCTTATGGTCATCACAGAGAATCCTAAATACCCAAAGAGTATTGCATATTATGAATCCAATAAAGTGTAGAAAACAATTAAATTGATGCCCAAGTATGAGATTTAAAATATCATAGTAAGCTTATTTAACAATACTATCCCTACTATTCTAGACCTAATTTCTACTAGGAATTTTATTACTTCTTTGATTCAAAATAAAATAATTGAAAAAATTGCTACTCCAGATACACCATCACCTAATGCTGCAGCACAGTATAAGATAACAGAAGCTATTACTAAAATAAATCATGAAATTAAAGAGTGTCAAAAAATTTATAACAAGACAACTGATCAGGAGGCCAAATTCAAATTAATAGAATATATATGTGACCTTAAGCAAACTCTTTATACTGAAAGTGAAAAACTTCAAACCCTTAAAAAAAAGGCTAAATATCAACAGAAATACTATAAAAAAAAAGAAAAAAACTTACAAGAAAATCAACAAATTTATAAAAGTATAGAGTTTGGGGCTGTTGATAACAAAAGGAGGAAAAAAACAATAAAAGTTAGAAATATTAACCATCTATATAAAAAATTAGAACAAAATTACAATGAACATCTCTCTTATACTACTGTATGCAATTACTTGTTGCTACGTTATCAAAATTCAATTGCAGCAAAAAAACATCACCATCTGATCAATGTTCAAGTTAGTACATTTTGATATTCAAAATCTTTTTTAAATTGTATATGATTATAATATTTATATTCTATCCTCATATAGTCTAAAAAATACACATATAATTATATAGATAACACCAGGCTTTGATCATATTAAATTTATATGATTGAAGTCTGGTTTTCTTTTGGCATTATCCATATATAAGATTAGAAATTAATTTAGTATAAGAAGTTAAAAAAATAATTTTTAAACAATTCTTTTTTTTAAAATATATTATATCCTCCTTAATTTTATTAATAATTACTGGTTTAGGTTGCATCTATCTTAAGAAATGAAATAAAATAACATCAAGATAATCATTATTGCCTTGCTTTTATCAAGGTGGCAAGACAATTTGTGACTCTGTTTCCAACCATTTTGGTAATTGTGTTTCAGAATGACAAAGCCAAAATTCCACTTGGTATTCCTGCAGTTGGCAAAACTTTCAAAGCCATACAAAATACTAATGAGCCAACAATTCTTCTAGATTATGATTTTTCTGTTGGCTGCAACAGAAACTTATCTTATCTATATATCTTATGATTGATTCAAATGACACAATTGACACTCTTAAAAGTGGCCAACTGTCAATATATCTCTGTTCACAATATGAAACAGGAACAAGTACTATAACGCATATGAGTGATCTATATTTATTAGTAAATAATAGCCATTTTGACAATAGGCTAAAGATTGATAATGAAATTAGATCCATCTGGGTTCTTATTGTAAATGAGGGCCCAGATGAGAACCCCCATCATCTAAAAAATATTTACCAATATTGTAAAATGTTTCATTCTTTCAATTTAGACTACTTAACTGTTAGGACCCATGCTTTAGGTTAGTAATCTAAAATTATCAAATTATTTAGTAAACTAGTTAGTTGGTTAAATACTTTAATTAAATAAAAGTTAACTAATCAAAATTATAATTTCTGCCAAAATACTAGTTAAAATTAAAAAAATTCAAATTTTTGAATAGCATAAATCAATGCTATCTGTCAAGTTGAATTATTTAATTTGAATTAATATAAAATAATAATTGAAATTATAATATTAATTAATTAAAAAATTTTATAAATAATAAATATTAATTAACTAGCAAACTAAATATTATTTGTTCTATTAATTACTTCAGGTCAATTAGTATACAACTCTGTTGAAAAGAGTATGACATCACTTTCAAGTAAGCTTGTGGGTATAGTTCTACCTGTTAACAATTATAGTTCCCATCTTAATTTACAAAGTAAAGTCATTGATTTGGAGCTTGTGAAAAAAATTTTTAAATATGTGGGCGATCTTCTTTGTGATTTATGAAAATGTGACCCTATATTTGAAAAGTCAGTTATAACTAAGTATGTTAACATAGAAAATATTCTATTTTTAAATGTTGAGTTTCAGGGTTAAATAATAGTATTGATAATTTTAATTTATCTTGGAAATGAATAGAAATACATGTAAGAATTTGTAAATACTCTTTAGATGTTAAAAAGTGTGATAACATTACATATTGCTTGCCTAAATGATGTAATGAGGCTGGTAATCTTCTTGCCACCAATAATGGCTTTCTTTCGCCTCTTGTAATAGGAAAAGACAGCTATTATATTAACTCAATTCATCTATTAGAGTATTATAACAAGAAGAAAATTCCAGGGTATAACTAACATTGTCCCTCTATCTCTAAAAACAATTACATAAAAAACTTTTGTCCTGTATGTAAAAAGTATTTTCCAACAACCTCAATAGTTGTTACCTATAAAAAAAACCAATACCTATGTTTAGTTAAATGTAAAAGACCAAAAAAAAATATAACCAATATTGAAGCTACAAAAAAACAGAAAACTAAATAAAAATTTTTGTAAATTTATTTTTTTTTTGTTTTAGAATACAAATTATTATACTATTTTTAATAATATTTATCTGAAAAATATTTTTCTTTAAATAGCTCTAGATTAAATAAATTTTTTTTTAAAATATTCTAAAATTATATATAAAGATTAATTTTAATAAAAAAAAAAACAAAGAATTGTATTAGCAAAACTTTAACAAGCTCATGATACTTTACTCTTATATTTTGCCTAATATCTCTTATTAAAAAAGTTTTAAATCTCGATGAAATTATATATATCTATTAAAAAGTTTTTGCTTTTGATGATTGAACCTTGTGATTCAGTAAAAAGTTGCATATGTTCCAAAACTTAAAGATCTATATATGTTTTATAATTTACAAAAATAGTTAAATTCTAAACTACCAAATATTAGAACTTATTTGCAGATTTTATTAACTTTGTATTTGCTAAAATTGCTCATCCTATTATCAACTATCAAGCATGTAAATCTTTTAATACAGTCAGGCATATTTCCAAAAATGGGAAGTGTAGATTGGCCTTTTTATAGTATAAAAATGCAAATCAGTTGATTCTTTTTGCTTTGGTTACATGAATCAGAAGCTAAGTTATACACTAATCAGCGAAATAAATAGTAAATTTTGAGCAGAAAAGAATAGTAAAACTTATAATTTTTTCTAAGTCTTTATATATATTGAAATAAAGAATTAATCTCAATAAAATCAATGTTGATTATGAAACTTTGAATGTTCAACTTCATATCTATAAAATTATTTGTTATAGTTACCTATTGCAAAAAGTCACAAAATATAACTGAATTTAGCGAAAAGCAGTCAATCAAATTTCAATAGAATGATCTAGAATTGATTTTCATTTTTGGCAATATGCCTAACTGTAATAAATATTGAGCAGTACCTAAGAATTAAATTCTAACAAATTCTTATGCAAAAAAATAAACTATAATTAGTAACAAGTTAAGAAGTTTAATATATAGAATCTTTGCCTTGAAAATTAAGTTATGGAACATAGTAAATGATATATTCTATCTTTGATTTTCAAGGCAAAGACCTTATATATTTATTGAACAAAAAAAAAGTTAGAAATTCAGCATATAATAAATTTATGTTCTTGTACTGGAATAAATGATACATTTCAACATCTTTCATTGCATCTTTTATGGAATTACTTCCAAATAGACATCTAATTAACTTATGAACAAGATCAGATTTGAAAACAACATGCTAAGTTAAAAAGACTTTTAAATAATTTTTGTAACTGAGATAACACTGCTTGTATGTTTAAATGTTTTTATGTCAAATATAACTCAAATAAGAATACCTTTATTGATTGTCAAATCGGAAAATGATTTATGCTCTTTGTACTTAGAAATCTGCTAAGCCTCTTACAAGATATAGTTATACTACTGTTATACCCAATTCGATATTGATATTGCATTACATAGGATTTTCTTGCTTATTAATTATTATTGCAGATCATAATGAAACTGAATTAAAATGAAATAAGGGTTTCTATTTAATCCTCTAAAACCCACTTATACTTGTTTATTATTAACACTACCCTAAAACTAACCTCTAACCCTAACCTCTAACTTTAAAAAATACACCTCAAAAATTTTTATTTTTCAGTAGCTTGTTTATTTTTTATATTGTACAATATTTTATTTTGATTTGATTTCATTTTAATCTGTCACAATTATTAATTACTGCATAAACCATTAGTTACTGTGTCACATGGAACTGTTTTAACATGTTTCAAAGAAAAATAACTATTAAGTATTAGTTACTGTGCTACATGGGGCCATTATAACATAATCATGCAAGAAAAATTAATGTTAACCATTAATTGCTATGCTATATGGGCTGTTATAACAACTGTTAAGTGTTAATTGCTGCATTATATGGGGCTGTTATAACATATTCTTGTAAAAAAACAGTTACCGTTAGCTACTATGCCATATGGAACCATTAAACCAATTATTTGATAATTATGTAAGGGGTTTTTAGAGGGTTCCAGATACCTGAATCTGAAGGAGAAAGATATATTTACATAATAAGTGTTAGCTTCCTAATTGCTATTTATAATTATAATATATATAATAAAGAGTATTATATTTATAGAAGTACAGTAACCTAGGGTGTGGGTCCCATAGCTTAGCGGTTAAGCTCCCATACCCTTTACAGTCAAGGTCAACGGTTCAAGTCTGGCTGGAGGCAAAATTGAAAGATTTTAGCTTCTGTAACCTAATAAGGAGCC